GGGGGGGGGGGGGAGTCATCTGTCTGCTCAAATCGCTCTTTAGGATGTGCACATACTTTTGCCAAGAAAGAACCAGGCTTTCCTCCAGGCTTTAAATTTTAGCCCTGCTTTCATTGACTTACAGAAAGTACCAGGTGCAGCTCTGAAGCTTTCCTGACCAGCAGCAGTTTTGCCGCGGGCCCTGGGGTCAGGTGCTGTTCATGGTCACATACAAGCTGTCTCAGTTCCAGTGCTGGTGCTTTTAAAGTCTGGAGTGAGGCTGGACAGCTGGTTTGAGGGACACAATCTAGACTGAATTAGAGTGGAAATAACTGTAGTTTCATGATAGGTCTCAAAACTGCAGATCAGTGTTACTGACCCTACAGAAACAAACCTGCACGTGCAAAGCAGTTCAAGTAGTGACTACAGAGGAGAACTTTGGATCTAAGGATCTCGCAGAGCAGCATGCATGAGAAAGTAAAGCATTTGTGTGGATTGAAACTGGAAATTCATAATTATAGAGACAGGTGATTACAGATAGGAGATGCTTTTTGAGAGGTGTCATGCTTAAATATGATCCTTTAACTGGGTTTCTGCAGAAACAGGTTTTAAACAAGACTGGATCTTTTGTATATGTGGAAAATGAAAAGTGTGGGTCCCTCTGTAGGAATTAACTGCATGGTTAACTGGTGGTTAGGTTTTGCCTGTTTGTTGTTGCTCTGAACATTTTATTTGTTTGTTGTGATAGTAATTCCTGCACCTAGTGCCCTGAAGGAAGAGCAGTGTGGGAATGAGTTGATTGCAGGATATCACAAGGTGCACAATGGGGTCCTGTGTGCTCTGGCTACTCCTTCTCAAAGGAATTTGTATCCCCTCCTGGGCTGGCCAGCACTTGGGCTGTAGAGCAGGGCTGGCTGCGGGTTGTGGTGCTGCTGGTGGCCAGCCTGTTTGGGTTCCCCTTGCAGTGAAACAGTGCTTGTGGTTTTGTTTCCGGAGATGAGATGAGCTGCTCAGAGTTTACCCTTGGAGAAATAAGTTCCTGGAGATCCACCCAGCCTGCCTCTTGGAGCTGTGGGGCAGCACTTGAGGAGGAATGAGCTGGAGGGAGGAGACATGTGGGCTGCCTTGGGTGAAGCCGTCACCAGGTGTGGCTGTTCCTGCTTGCGCACCTATAGGAGAATATTTATGGCAGGCTCAGAAAACCAAGTGCTTGCTGTGAGCATACATCTTGACTCGTGCACCGTGGGGAGGGTTTAGCAGGAATCACCTCTAGGGTGGTGACATTAGCCAACAAAGCAGCTGGTGAGGATCAGGAGCATAGCTGCAGTGCTTACTGAAGGCCAGGTGAAGTGGCTGGAGCGGTGGTTCATCAGAGCTAGAGAGCTCTTGGGGGAATGGAGTTTGCTGGAGCTGAATCAGGAACATCAGAAATCCACAGTGCTCTGCTAGGATATACATCAAGTCCACAAAGAATGCATGGAGACACTGGTATATGAGAAGCTGTCTGATTATTTTAAAGCCTGTGGCCATGTGCTTCATCAAAGGTAGTAATGTAGCCTTGGTGATAGTGACCTTGGTAATAAGAAATAGCCTTGGTACATGAGTTGAATGGTTCTGGATCGATACCAGCTAAAAGATGGTGATATTCATGTTGGTAAGAAGGGAGCAGCAGCCTACCTTTGGGGAATCTGTGTCTCTTTTGGGATCTGGAAGAAGTGGGTAAGCAAACTTCTGCAAGGTTCAGAGCCCCAGGGGCAGGGCCCCTCCATTACCAGGTGGAAGTGGTGAGGTTGTGTCTGAACTGCACCAGGTAAAGTACCCTGAGGCCTGGCCCTTAGATTGTCACACAAACTTCTTGTTACAGCTCTGCTCCTAAGTAGTGGAACAAATGGATGCATGTTCCCTGGCTTTGAGGCACTGATGAACAGCTAATTGAAAGGCACTGGGGAGGAGTGTTCCTTGTCAACAGGTTTATCCCATTATCTGCTACAGAGCCTGCTGGTGGTTGGGACTTCCTTGCAGCTAAAGGTGAGATTCTGGGCTGTAGTGTGTTACCCACGTGCATGCAACACCTGGCAGCTGTGTAGGGCTTGCACTGAGCCAAGGCATGAGCCAGCTGCCACGCTTGTGGTTTTGCCTGCAAGTGTCCACTGCGGGCTGCTTCACAGTCAGGAAGGTGTGTGTCCCTGGTTGGATGTGAAGTTTTTGCCTCTCCTAGAGGGGTGCCAGCTCACATCCTCTGGCAGGATATCAAGAGCTTCATTTCTAGCCTCACTAATGGCACCAGATGCTATTTTTCTTTTACGTTTATAATTCTGTTCTGAGATGTATTAAGCAGTTGATATCACGTGCCCTGGAAGCCAGAGCCACAGGCTGAGGCTTAGAGTTTTTCAGAGGATTTAATTTATCAGTTTTAAATTTTTCTTGCTTCTTCCCATCAGTGTTGGTCTGTGTTTTTAGCTCTTGAACCACAACCAAGAGCAACAATTCCTGAAACCAGCTGTCTTGAAAAGAGTATTGAAGGATTATCTTTGTTTTCTTTAATATAACTGATGCAGTTACCTGCCTCCTCCCTCCTCCTAAACTGGATTATTCCATAATGCTGAGCATAGTATTTTTTAGCCCAGGAGTAAGGGTCCCTCTCATGTTTTCATGTTGGATGTGGCAGGGCCATTTGTATTGAAATAGAGATGTCCAAACTTTGCCCACTGAAGGGTTAGGTTAGCAGCTTGCCCCAAGCCTGGGAAGCTGTGCCCAGCAGCTGTGGGGTACATCGGCCCATGTTTGCTCTCATGCTACTACACACAGCGTAACACTGAAGACAGTGCAGTGCAGCATGAGGTTCCAAATTGGCATCTGAATGTCTGCCATCCAAACCAGATGGAGTGTGTTTGCTTTGAAGGGCTTTGCTGGTCCATGGTGCTTGTGTGTAATCATGCTCTGACTTGGGTGTGCTAGATGAGGTGTTCATAAAGTCTCATTAGCCTTGTTTAGTCATTCCAAAAGCACTCACAAACCAGAGAATGTAGCATTAACAGATGTTGAGCAGGAACAGAGGAAGGAGGGCAGGGAGAGAAGGAATCCAGAGCATGAGACTGATGTCCCTGGGCATCTTAGTGGACCATGGGCATCTATAAGACTTAGGAGGAGCAGATGGGGTCACTTGGTTTGTTCAGCTTGGAGAAGAGAAGGCTGAGGGTCGACCTCATCGCCGTCTGCAACTTCCTCAAGAGCAGCAGTGGAGGGGGAGGTGCTGATCTCCCCTCTGTGGTGTCCAGCGATAGGACATGGGAAAGCAGAATGAAGCATCAGTAAACTTGCATAAATGATGTTGAGATCTTTTTGTAAGGTGTGATTTCTGTGGGATTTCCCAAATGTGCACTGTGAGTGAGGTGGTCTGACGGGTCCCGGCTCATCAGGCAGAGCAGTGTGCTCTCAGCCCCGGCCTTCTGCCCGCTGCGCTTCTGAAGGTTATTTACTGGGGAGGAGTTAAATGTCACTCTGTTTTGCACCCACCTGGGGAGATTTTGCCTCTCTATGGTCATGTGCTCCGGCTGCACTTGCAGGAATCAAGTGTTTTGTGTGAGATACCAACTGTGTATACCCAGGCAGCAGTGAGCCTGTGGCATGTTCAGTATTGGGGCCCCAGAATGGTGCTTGCAGCGTGTTTTTTGAGCATGATGTATTTGAGGAGGGAGGTGTTGGCAGCTAAATGAAAGAAACTGCCGGCCAGTGACCAGCACAGGGGGTGGTGATAATACAGAGCACTGCTAACTGTGGGAGGAGGTCCTGGGGCAGACGGAGTCCCTGTAGGCCAGTTTGTAAAGGTTTTAATTTTTGAATTCAATCTTTTATGCGCTTTTCGTGGCCAGGGATCAAAGAGGCAAGCTGTGTCCCTGCTAAGATAATGCAAACTGAACACAGGCACGTTCCTGAACTGCCCCTTCTCCCAGGGACCCCAGGAGGGTTAGGAGAAGCAGCAGCTCAGCCCTGTCAAGAGAACAAAAAGCACTTTGTACCTGCTAAACAACCTCCGCTCCACTCCCCACTCTACCAACAGCCCCCACTGCTCCCAGAAGTGAACAAACAGGAGGTCAGGCCTTTTTCAGGGGATGTGAGGGGCTTGGGGCAGGGAATGGGACAATTTGGATTTGGGGCAGGGAGAGGGAGTGGGGTGGGGTGAGGAGCTGTTACAAAGCCCTGGTTGTAAGTGAAACCCTTTTTTTGTTTCTCACCTGTGTGCTGGGGCATGTTCCACTGTCTGCTAGCCACTCGGTTGGTGTTGAGCTGGGTGCATGGCCAGGCAGACAGCGATTCCCAAAAGGCAACAGCTGTTCCACAGAGCTGAAGAGAATTCGGAAGTGGAGTTGAGCCCTCTAGCAAAAACCGTTTCCCCTTCGTAGCCCGCAAGAGCTTTCTTCCCAAACCATGCATCTGAGACTTTTTTTTCCACATGCTGAGAGAAACCATTGTGTCCTGGTTATGTCCACTGCAAGTGTTTCTCCCTTGGCCTGAACACCGGACTTTGCTTGCTTCACATGGTGCAGTGCTCTTAAATAGCATGGGAATGTGCTGTCTGGAGGATGGTACCTCCTTCACCATGTCAAGTGGTTGGTATTGTCCAGGAAGTTGTCTGTCTGTCTCCTCTCCTCCATGCCGCAGTAGCCGATAGATGCAGGGGTACAAGTATGAAGAACAGTGCCAACACAGTTTCTCTGGGTGCTCTTCCAGTT